AATCTCCCCCCCCCCCCCCCCCTCCTGTGTGCGGATATCGACGTGTCACGCTCCCTCCGTAACTGTTCTACGCTCACATCGTAGAGAACTGATAGCTCGAATCGTGCCTAGATATCGTATAAACAGATGAGCAGAATCGCGATAGATAAATGAAAGCATGGGTCATACGAGTCTGTCTCGTTGTTGATCGTTTCATCGCGCTCTCTCCCTTTTCCGTTTCCTGTCCTTTACTCGGTACAATCTCGTTTAACGCCAGAGCACACCGGTACTCGTCACTCCCACGCGGTTTGTGCGCGAATCTCGGTGTTTTTTCCAATAAGAAGATTGTGTACAATTTCGCAAGAAAGCTAATTTGAAATGTGAAAGAGCGTACAGTACGCGGGAGAGATTGCAAACGCGCGGTCATAATACGACGCAGGAATGAATGTGTGCTCTAGGATTAACATATTCAGTTACACGCCGAGCGATTACACCGCCCGCGTGGAATGCCCTCGGCTTTTTTATCAGATCTTCTCTCGGCGTTGCAAAATCCGCCGGTGTACGAGCGGTATTATCTTATCTGCACGTAACGCACACAAAGTACGTTATCTGCCGTGTCCCTCCTCTGGTTGTACGTCCTGAAGATGTGTGTAATGTATGAGAGAGCGCGATATATCGGTGACACATCACGCGCTTGAAAGCCATTAGGCCGGGCGCAGCTCTTATCAATTTGTCGTGTAATAAAATTTGGACTGTATCCATTTCACGTAAATGAAAACAAAGGAAGCAATATTGTTGAACACAGTAATTTAATTTCGTTACATTCAGTTTAAAAAAGGAATAGAAAGTTTTTGCGCGTGAGTCTGAAGTTTCACAAATCTGGGTAAGTAGCACAACGTCCTAATTGATAATTTTAAATCGACTCGTTGAATCGAGTCCAATTTCAAGTCGACAGACAGACGTTCCATGTAATGCCGAAATGTTAAGCGTGTTAAATGCGACGAGTGCGTGATACCTCGCGTCCAATGTAGAGCATCACTTTACACGCGGAGCGTCATTTTGCATTATGCAACGAAAAACAGTAACGCCGTACTAACTGCGCGGCGGCGACCAAGTGTCGAATTCTATCCGGCAAAAAATTGCCCGACAGCGGAAAAACACGATAAACGCGATCGCGATAAAGAGAAGCGTCGGTCGGTGGCAGCTATTCTGTCCGTTCCTTGTCTTGTCAGCTCGGCGCAAGCAAGATAAATGGCACGAGAACGTGAAACGCGGGCGAACACACAGAGGTGGAGAGAAAGAGAGAGAGAGAGAGAGAGAGAGAGAGAGAGAGAGAAAGAGAGAGAGAGAGAGGTGTGAAAAGTGCGCGCCTAGACAATTCACAAAAGCGTAGAAAATCGATAATCGATACCCCGCTTTTCTCATCACTGTCGCGCGCGCCACGCCAAGGTCGCCGTCGGAAAAAGTCCCTTTTCCCGCGGATTCGCGACCCGCAAAACGAGAAGCTGAAAGCGTCGCGATTCGAGTACTGACGGACTCGCGTTCGTGGTGACGAGGGCCGAAAGGAACGCGCGTTTCCACACGAAAGGGAAAGAACGGAAATGCCAACGGGGAAAGAACACAAATCGAGACGGTAGCGTAAGACGAGGCTGATGATCTCAAGGTATAATTATGGAGATGCAAACATATTGTATACCGAGAATGAGAAGCACACGCGGAACTGGGAACAATAGGCTCGTCGCAGGTCTCGTCCGAACGCCTAGGAATCCGTCATTGATCTCGAGCACCATCGAAATGCAATCGAAAAGATTTCGCGAATCGCGTCGCTCGTCAGGATTCAATGGCTCATTTGAATTTGCGCTCCGACCTCGGCTCTTCCGAGAAATTCGGCGATGCGTTTTCCTCGTTGTTGTTCGGCGTGCTATGAATCGAGAATCCGTTTTCAAATGTGTGCAAGTGCTTACGTAAGTAATTGTGACGTAACGGCGCGCTCGACGCGAAACTTACCAAATCATCGTGAGACAAAGAAATAGACAATTTAACGTTCGAGAGCTATCAGACAGTCTATCGGTCGTGCGGTTGTCCGACGATTCGATGTAAAAAGTAACGTCCGTCAATTCATAACGAATGGCGACTATCAAAGCCGCGTGTCGCGTCCCGTTATCGCTGCCCAACGAGGAAAATCGCCCGGTCCGGCGAATTATTTATTCAATCCTGCCGAACTATCGCGCGGAATT